TTGGGCCAATCGCCAGGAGACGGTGAGTTCTAGTCCTGCCTCAGGCGTGAAAACTGACTGGGTGACTTTGGGCCAATCGCAGGAGACTGTGAGTTCTAGTCCTGCCTCAGGTATGAAAACTGACTGGGTGACTTTGGCCCATCGCCAGGAGACGGTGAGTTCTAGTCCTGCCTCAGGCGTGAAAACTGACTGGGTGACTTTGGGCCAATCGCCAGGAGACGGTGAGTTCAAATCCCGCCTTTGCCATGAAAGCCAGGCTGGGTGAGTTTGGGCCAGCCCTTCCCTCTCAGCCCAGCCCACCTCAGAGGGTTGTTGTGGGGAAAATAGGAGGAGAGGGGAATGATGACCTTCATCCCCTTGAATGATTTACAAAAAATAAATAAGTCGAGCTCCCCACATCTTAACGTTGCCCAAGGTGGAGCAGGGAGGAGAGAACTTACTACGGCGTCCTTGGGCTCCGGTGCGTGGATCGTTGTCGGCCTGGCCCCCAGGCCCATCTCTTCCACCACCACCCCTTGGCACGGAGGATTCGGCTCTGGAGCCTTGCGATAGAGGAGGTGTTTGAACCCGCTGAAGTTCTCGATCGGCTGGATTTGGTAGGTCAGGTTCCCGATCTGTACGTAACCCCTGAACGTTTGAGAAGGAGATTGAGGGACATCACACAACAGAACAGCCAGAACACGAAAGAGGGTCTCCATGGCTGGAGGTCCTCCAGAAAAGATTGGACAACCATCTCCCTGGGACGGTCCAGGTCCTTCTTGACTTCGAATCATTCGTTTAGCGTCCGTTCGAAATTTGAACGGCACTGAGAAAGGCGACTTATGACGGACCCTCAATTCACAACTCAGTACAAGTAGTTTTCATAGAACAGAAGAGAATGCTGGAAGGGACCTTGGAGGTCTTCTAGCCCAACCCCCTGCTCAAGCAGGAGACTCTAGAAAAGACCATTTCAAACAAAGTCTCTTATTGAAAGCCTCCAGTGATGGAGCACCCACAACTTCTGGAAGCAGGTTGTTCCACTGATTAAATTGTCCTCACTGTCAGGTTGCTTCTCTCCTTGATTAGTTTCCACCCGTTGCTTCTTGTCCTGCCTTCAGGTGCTTTGGAGAACAGCTTGATTCCCTCTTCTTTCGGGCAGCCCCTGAGATACTGGAAGGCTGGAACACTAAATATTTTAAGGACTAAAATAGTTTTATTCTCCAAAGCACCAGAGGGAAGGACGAGAAACAACGGTTGGAAACTATTCAAGGAGAGAAGCAACCTGGAATTAAGGAGAAACTTCCTGACAGTGAGGACAATTAACCAGTGGAACAGCTTGCCACCAGAAATTGTGGGCGCTCCATCTCTGGAGGTTTTTAAGAAGAGGCTGGACAGTCACTTATTTGAGATGGTATAGGTTCTCCTGCTTGAGCAGGGGGCTGGACTAGAAGACCCCCCCCCAAGGTCCCTTCCAGCTCTATTCTATTCTGTTCTGTTCTGTTCTGTTCTGCTCTACTCCATTCCATTCCATTCCATTCCATTCCATTCCATTCTATTCTATTCCATTCCATTCTATTCCATTCTATTCTATTCTATTCTATTCTATTCTATTCTATTCTATTCTATTCTATTCTATTCTATTCTATTCCATTCGTATTCTATTCTATTCTATTCTATTCTATTCTATTCTACTCTACTCCATTCCATTCCATATATTCTACTCTACTCTACTCTACTCTGCTCTGCTCTACTCTGCTCCGCTCCTCCACTCCACTCCACTCCACTCCACTCCACTCCACTCCACTCCACTCCACTCCACTCCATTCCATTCCATTCCATTCCATTCCATTCTATTCTATTCCATTCTATTCTATTCTATTCTATTCTATTCTATTCTGTAATTCTATTCTATTCTATTCTATTCTATTCTATTTTTGTTCTGTTCTGTTCTATTCCTTTTAATCCACTTGGTTCTATTCTATTCTATTCTATTCTATTCTATTCTATTCTATTCTATTCTATTCTACTCTACTCTACTCTACTCTACTCTACTCTACTCTACTCTACTCTACTCTACTCTACTCTACTCTACTATATTCTATTATTTTCTTGTGCAGCTGATTTCATTCCAGGAAACCTAAAAGGTTCAGGTGTACAAGAAAACGTACACTTTCCAAAGTGGTTGGTATCTTTCCAAAGACCGAATTATCTCAGATGGGACCCCCTTGCTGAGTCCCTGTGAATTTCACTTCTCTAACTGATCAGGTCTGCCACTTTCTTAGCAGGCCCACCCTCCCCTTCCCTGCATCCAGGACCCACCTGTATTTCCCACCCACCCAACAGAGCACAGGACCCATAGCAAAGCCGTTACCAAAGACCGTTGCAGGTGGAGATGACCACGTCTGAATTGGGAAGGTCCTCCACGTAGCCACTATAATAGCAGTCAATCTGCAAGGGGGAGGGGAAGGGGGCAGAGAAAGGCTGTGTCCTGGTTCCGACAGAGGAAACTCTTTTAAGAACTTTGAGGCATTGTTTACCTTAAAGAATCTTTATTCCAGTGGCATAGCATCGGCACGTACATAGGCCAAGCCAAAATCTGGATTCCCCTCCCCTGAACACATAGTATCAAAGCACAATTCCCTCCTCCGATTCACAGTCACAAATCACATCCCCCAATTAGTTTGAAATGTAGGCCTTCCTTCCTTTACTCCAACCCGCCATTCCTTATCATTATTTCAAAAGCCCTGAATTCACACACTATTGCAACATTGTTATGTCTAACTAACTCCCATCACATTCCTCCTCCCCCCCCCCCCCCAGTATCACCTAACTCTAGGAGTAAAGCGTAAGAAAGAAAAAGGACGCGTCTCCATATGTTGTCAAAGCAAGAACAGCCGGTGTAAAGCAGCGTTGACTTCCTGCTTCAGAAGTGATTAGAAGGCATTGCGGGGAGTGGAAACCGAGTTGCGAGGGTGTGTGAGAACGACCTTGGGGGGGGAACAGTGGCAGCTGAGAGGTGTAAAAGTTTTCTCAGCCTTTCAGAAACAGAGGAGACACGGGAAGATGTTGAGACTCCGGAAAGGGCGCAGAGAAGAGCAACAATTCCTGATTGCAGGAATTGGGTATGTCTGAAAAGAAGGACTAGGGGCGACATGATAGCCATCTTGCAATATCTGGGGGGCTGCCATGGAAAACAGGGGGATCAACCTCTTCTCCAAAGCGCCTGAAGGCAGGACAAGAAGCAACGGATGGAAACTAATCAAGGAGAGAAGCAACCTGGAACTAAGGAGAAACTTCCCAATAGTGAGGACAATTAACCAGATATAGCTAAGACAGATAGATAGATAGATAGATAGATAGATAGATAGATAGATAGATAGATAGATAGATAGATAGATAGATAGATAGATAGATAGATAGATAGATAGATATAGATAAATGAGAGAGAGATGAGAGATGAGAGAGACAGAGATGATATATAGATAGCTAGATAGCTAGAGAGAGAAATGATAAATAGAGACAGGCAGATAAATATAATGATAGATGATCAATAGATATAGATAAATAGAGAGATAGTGATAGATAGATAGATAGATAGATAGATAGATATAGATAAATATAGATAAATGATAGATGAGACAGAGATGAGAGAGAAAGAGATGATATATAGCTAGATAGCTAGAGAGAGAGATGATAAATAGAGACAGGCAGATAAATATAATGATAGATGATCAATAGATATAGATAAATAGAGAGATAGCGATAGATAGATAGATAGATAGATAGATAGATAGATAGATAGATAGATAGATAGATAAATATAGATAAATGATAGATGAGAGAGAGATGAGAGAAAGAGATGATAGATAGATAGATAGCTAGAGAGAGAGATGATAAATAGAGACAGGCAGATAAATATAATGATAGATGATCAATAGATATAGATAAATAGAGAGATAGCGATAGATAGAGATAGATAGATAGATAGATAGATAGATAGATAGATAGATAGATAGATAGATAGATATAGATAAATGATAGATGAGAGCGAGATGAGAGAGAAAGATGATATATAGCTAGATAGCTAGAGAGAGAGATGATAAATAGAGACAGGCAGATAAATATAATGATAGATGATCAATAAATATAGATAAATAGAGAGATAGCGATAGATAGACAGACAGACAGACAGACAGACAGACAGACAGACAGACAGATAGATAGATAGATAGATAGATAGATAGATAGATAGATAGATAGATAGATAGATAGATGGAGGGATAGACAGATCGATGACTGATGGATGAGTATCATAGACAGAGAGGGAGAGAGAGAAGCCCACATGTTATTACAGGGAGTGACTTACTCTTGGTTTAGGATGCTGGACCGTTCTCCTTCCTTTTAAACTCAGATAGTAAATAGGCATATTCTGAATCACAAAGGACCTGCATACGAAAAGATAAAAACAGAAGAGGCATCTGCTCTGTAACAGTGGTTCCTTGACTCAGCAACAGCCTGCAGACTAGGGGGTCCTCTTTGGCTGTGCAGTGGGGGACATCTGCTTTGACCCTCTAAATCAGGGGTCTTCAAACTTGGCCCTTTGATGACTCGCGGACTTCAACTCCCAGAATTCCTCAACCAGCCATGCTGACTCAGGAATTCTGGGAGTTGAAGTCCACAAGTCATCAAAGGGCCAAGGTGGCCTACCCCTGGTCTAAATGCATAAAATGAAGAAGCATTATGCAGCTAAGTCTTAAAGGTAAAATCAGTGGTGGGATTCAGCCGGTTCGCGCCAGTTCGGCAGAACCGGTAGCTAATTTTTTGTTGCCCGGGCCCAGAACGGACTTCCGGAAGCGGCATCCACACAGAGAACCTATTTGAATCCCACCACTGGGTAAAATGCTTAGAACCAAAGCTAAAGTTACCCTTCAACTCATGATGAAGATGCACAGGGGGGGCCGTCACAGAGCATGCTTACCTTTCCTGAACAGAATCACAGAGCCGGAAGGGACCTCGGAGGTCATTTAGTCCAACCCCCTGCTCAGGCAGGAGACCCTATACCATTCCAGACAAACAGGCTGTCCAGTCTGTTCTTGAAAACCTCCAGGGATGGAGCAGCCACAACTTCTGGAGGCAGGTAGTTCCACCAGCTAATTGTTCCCCCTGTCAGGAAATTCCTCCTTAATTCTGGGTTGGTCTTGATGACCTCCAAGGTCTCTTCCAACTTTATTATTGTTGTTGTTGTTGTTGTTGTTGTTGTTGTTGTTCTTCTTCTTCTTCTTCTTCTTCTTCTTCTTCTTCTTCTTATTATTATTATTATTATTATTATTATTATTATTATTATACTTGGATTCAGTTTTGGTCACCGCAATATAAAAAAGATGTTGAATTCCCAGAAGTCATTAAGTTACAGATAGTCCTCCATTTATAATCCTTTGTTTAGCAACCATTTGAAATCACAACAGGGTTGAAAAAAGTGACTTACAAAACACTAACAACAACAACAACAACAACAACAACAACAACAACAACAACAATAATAATAATAATAATAATAATAATAATAATAATAATAATAATAATAATAAGAAGAAGAAGAAGAAGAAGAAGAAGAAGAAGAAGAAGAAGAAGAAGAAGTTGGAAGGGACCTTGGAGGTCATCTAGTCCAACCCCCTGCTCAGGCAGGAAACCCTATACCATTGCGGACAAATGGCTGTCCAGTCTCTTCTTAAAAACTTCCAGTATTGGAGCATTCACAGCTTCTGGAGGCAGGTAGTTCCACTGGTTAATTGTTCTAACTGTCAGGAAATTTCTCCTTAGTTCCTGGTTGCTTCTCTCCTTGATTAGTTTCCATCCGTTGCTTCTTGTCCTGCCTTCAGGGGCTTTGGAGAATAGCTTGACTCCCTCTTCTTTGGGGCAGCCCCTGAGATACTGGAAGGCTGCTATCCTGTCCCCCCTCGTCCTTCTCTTCGTTAAACTAGACAGACCCAATTCCAGCAACCGTTCCTTACATGCTTTAGCCTCCAGTCCCCTGATCATCTTTGTTGCTCTTCTCTGTACTCTTTCTAGAGTCTCAACATCTTTTTTACATCGTGGTGACTAAAACCGGACCTTAACCACTGAACGCAGGCAGTGTCTAATATCCTTTCCCTCAAGGCTCGGGGAAAGGTGGGGAAAAAAATTACACCATCCTAATCACTTACTTCTGATAAAGGTGAAGAATCCTGTGAACACCTTCGATTTTCATCAGATAGGATATTTCTTTCTGGAATGTACCAAAAAGATGTCTAATTAAACTCCTGTGACTGTGTATCCACAGGTTTTCCCCTGGATCAGGAGTCTGCTTCCTCGCTGTTGGGTTCACCCGAGGCTAGCAGTGTGAGACCCAAAGATTGTGGGGGGTCCTTGGTGCTCTCTGAGCTGGGTGGCTTTCTTGCAGATGTTTCATGACCCAACTTGGTAACTTCATCAGTGCTAGAAGGGAGGGGGGGTTGTGGAAAGGAGGAGGAGGAAGAAAGAAAGAAAGGAAGGAAGGAAGGAAGGAAAGGGAGAGAAGGAAGGAAGAAAAAGGAAGGAAAAAAGGAAAGGGAGAGGAAGAAGAAAGGAAGGAGAGAAAAGGGAGAGAAGGAAGGAAGGAAGGANAAGAAAGAAGAGGGAGGGAGGGAGGGAGGGAGGGAGGAAGGAAGGAAGGAAGGAAGGAAGGACTGTGGGGTCCCTGGTGCTCTCTGAGCTGGGTGGTTTTCTTGCAGACGTTTCATGACCCAACTAGGGAACATCATCAGTGCTAGAAGGGAGGGGAGTTTGTGGAAAGGAGGAGGAGGAGGGAGGAGGAAGAGGGAGGAGGAGAACTGTGAAGTTTTTAGTAGTCTCTGAGTTTGGTTTTTTTCTTGCAGACTTTTCATTACCTGACTACGTCACATTATCAGTGTGAGGGAGAGGAGGGGTTGCTCTCTATTTATACAAAATACTTGCCTTCAGTTCTTTGATTAAGGTATTGTTTTCTGCTTGATTGTTTGTCTGGAGTTAATCCCTGCTTATCTGGGTATGGGCTGCAGAGGAAGCCACTCTTTATAAACAGGGAGCAAACTCCACCCCTCACTTGCGCTGAAGATGTTACCTAGTTGGGTCATGAAACGCCTGCAAGAAAACCGCCCAGCTCAGGGATCACCAAGGACCCCACAGTCCTCCTCCTCCTCCTCCTCCTCCTCCTCCTCCTCCTCCTCAGTTCCCATCAGCCCCAGCCTTTGTGAGCACTAATGGGTTTGTGACTGGAGGAGCTTCAGTGCACCCCCTCTGAATGGACCTGGGATGGGGAAAGCCACTCTTCAACCTTCAGGGATTTTCCTTACTAGCCAGGGTCAGGCAGCCATTCAACTGGTGAAGCACCATCCGGATTACCTTACTGTAGGCACCGTTGGGCTGTTCTAGCAAAGTAGGCACCGTCACCTCAGAATAAAGATAGCTGGGAGATTCCATTGATCCTAGAAAGAAAGGAAACAAAAATGGCCTCGTCTCAGGTTGGCATGGCGGAGAGGTGGGATGGATAGCCTCAAGAGATCCCCGGTCCAGTCACCAGCTCAGAGCCACTAATTGCCATTTGTCAGGACTGTGAGTAAAATCTCCCTCTGCCTCTCCTTGAGTCTGGCAAAAGAATAAGCTGGCATGACACACGCTGATGGGAAAACCCGGCTCCGTCTTTATGACTGAGATTAGACAAGCGTTTGTCTCAGATATTATAAGGACTTCTGCTTGGACACGGAGGTTGGACTAGAAGACCTCCAAGGTCCCTTTCAGCCTTAGGATTCTATGAGATACATAAGATACATATGGTAGATAGATATAGAGATGATAGACAGATGATAGATAGATGGATGGATGGATGGATGGATAAATAAATAGATAGATAGATAGATAGATAGATAGATAGATAGATAGATAGATAGAGATAGATAAGATAGATAGATAGTAGATAGATAGATAGATATAGAGATGATAGATAATAGATAATAGATAGATAGATAATAGATTATAGATAAGTAGATGATAGAAGACAGATGATATGAGAAAATAGATAGCGATGATAGATAGATAGATAGATAGATAGATAGATAGATAGATAGATAGATAGATAGAGATAAGATAGATAGTAGATAGATAGATAGATATAGAAATGATAGATAGATAGATAGATGATTGATAGATAGATAGATAGATAGATAGATAGATAGATAGATAGATAGATAGATAGATAGATAGACAAGACAGCCAGCCAGCCAGCCAGCCAGCCAGCCAGATAGATAGATAGATAGATAGATAGATAGATGATAGATGGATGGATGGAAGGATAGATAGATGATAGATAGATAGATAGATAGATAGATAGATAGATAGATAGATAGATAGATAGATAGATAGATAGTCTTCTCGTCCAGCCCCCAGCTCAAGCAGGGGACCCTACACCACCTCAGACAAATGACTGTCCAGTCTCTTCTTAAAAACCTCCAACGATGGAGCGCCCACGACTTCTGGTGGCGAGCTGTTCCACTGGCTAATCGTCCTCAGTGTCAGGAAGTTCCTCCTTAATTCCAGGCTGCTTCTCCTCTCCTTGATGCTCAGAGGCGTCTCGTCTGGTTCATTCCTTCCGATCCTGCCAGGGTTTGGAGCTGGGCATCTTCTCCCAAGGGACCCTGGAGTCCCTGGGAACGGGGGAACTACAACTCCCAATACCCCTCAACTTGAGCCCGGCTGCCTGGCTTCTGGGAGTTGTAGTTTAGCCACTCTTCCCCCCATACCCACCCAGTCTGGACTCCTTGCCACCCACCCCCAAGTATTTCTACCCACCCAGTGCGAAGAGCACCCAAAGCAGCTGCAGCCAAGCGCCCATCATTCTTCGCTTCCAGGCCAGAAAAAGAGGGGAGACAGACCCCCGGGGTGTCCCCTCCCTCAATTCCTGCCAGTGGGTGCCCCCATGGCTCAGACCCTTAACTGCCACCCAACTCTACTCCTCAGCTGCCCTTCAAGGCCAAGGTCCCGCCTGATTGGCTCCCTCCGGCTGAAGTCCCACCCCCCCAGTAGCTCTGTCAAAGACTGCTTCACAATTCCAGCTGCTCAGAAGGCCAGCCGTCAATCAGGCACCGGGAGCCCGCCCCTTTTCTCAGGCAGAGGGGAGCTCCTCCCCTTTTCCTGGCCACAATTGCCTGGGGGGGGCGCTTCGAGCCCCGCCCCTTTCCAACGCTCCCATTGGCTGCTGCTGCTGCCTGTTCTGTTTGTGACATCCTCCACAGGTGGCGAGGGAGGGGCTGAAGGGTGAGGAGACCCTTACAGAGTCGCAGACTCACGAGAGTTGGAAGGGGACCTCAGAGGTCTTCTAGTCCAACCCCGTTGCTCGTTCAGGAGACACTTACAGAGTCACAGACTCACAGAGTTGGAAGGGGACCTCAGAGGTCTTCTAGTCCAACCCCGTTGCTTGTTCAGGAGAGTCACAGACTCAGAGTTGGAAGGGGACCTCAGAGGTCTTCTAGTCCAACCCCGTTTCTCGTTCAGGAGACCCTTACAGAGTCACAGACTCACAAGTGTTGGAAGGGGACCTCAGAGGTCTTCTAGTCCAACCCCGTTGCTCATTCAGGAGACCCTTACAGAGTCACAGACTCAGAGTTGGAAGGGGACCTCAGAGGTCTTCTAGTCCAACCCCGTTGCTCGTTCAGGAGACCCTTACAGAGTCACAGACTCACAAGAGTTGGAAGGGGACCTCAGAGGTCTTCTAGTCCAACCCCGTTGCTCGTTCAGGAGACCCTTACAGAGTCACAGACTCACAAGAGTTGGAAGGGGGACCTCAGAGGTCTTCTAGTCCAACCCCGTGGCTCGTTCAGGAGACCCTTACAGAGTTACAGACTCACAAGAGTTGGAAGGGGACCTCAGAGGTCTTCTAGTCCAACCCCGTTGCTCGTTCAGGAGACCCTTACAGAGTCACAGACTCACAAGAGTTGGAAGGGGACCTCAGAGGTCTTCTAGTCCAACCCCGTTGCTCGTTCAGGAGACCCTTACAGAGTCACAGACTCACAAGAGTTGGAAGGGGACCTCAGAGG